AGAGACCCAGGCACCTGTTGAGCCTGTAGCCTGGAGGTGTCCTGGCCAGTTTGGCTCAGTCACTTTCACGTGTTCCAGGATTCGTTATGTTTCTCCTACAGGTGTCAGAGGAAAGTAGTAGTTAAGAGAACAGCCTTCTGGGGCAAGCAGGTGGAGTAGTGGTTAAGGTGCTGGACTCACACGTGACCAACTGCGGTTCTAAGTCTCTGACCTGGAGGCTTGAAACTCAGTGCTAGCCATATGTGTGCGTGCATGCCCAGAAGCCTAGGAGGGGAGTTGAGAAGAGATTGTGGCATGAATATCCCCTCCGGGGGATGATTTCTTACTTTCTGTCTCTGTCTCCTGATAAGTGCACATGCCCTCTAGGAAAAATCTCTCCCAAAAAAACACAAACAAACAAGAAAACAGCCTTATAGTAGCAGGTCGCCTGTCCTTTTATGATCTCAGTTTTTCTCATCTGTAAAGTGGAAAGAATGAACGCTGCTGTGTGGAGATGCTAGGAGGAGTAAATAGCATAATGTGTGTATATGTGTGATGTGCGTATTTACTTCTTTCACGACACTGCAGCTGAAGCTTATAGCAGTGTTTGTGTAGTTCTTTGCAAAAGACATCACAAATGTAATAACAATAACTTGACATTAATTTTCTGCCTTCCAGGTTCTACTTCACCAACTGGCATGGGACCAATGACAATGAGCAGTCAGTGTGGCGGCATTCTCCAAAGAAGCAGAAAAACGGCTATGAGAAAAAAAAGGTTCCAGATGCAACCCCACTTCTGGATGCCAGCTCACTGGAGTATCTGTTTGCTCAGGTAGGAAGGTTTGTGTGTCAGTAATAACTCACTGAGGGACTTGAGTCACTGATTGTACACTCTCCCCACTCCTGAACTGTCTTTAGAATAGAGAGGTGGGGCAATGTCCAGCCCTGGACAGGTACCATGTGGACAAACTAAGCTGAACTGGCCATTTTCAGACTGATCTCTAGGGACTCACCTTCTAGATTTTGCTTTCCACTCCTCTTGGGAGCAGAGGAACATGACCCAGTGCAGCCTCCTTCAAGGAATAAGCATCACCTTGGAGTCTGACCTTTAGGAGGCTCTGGAATGAGTGCCTGAGATCACTGTGCAGTAACTGTTCACAGAAAACCACAGCCAGACAGAATCGTTCTACTGCCTTTACACGTTGCTTGCATGGATCATTTGTCATTCCTCAGGTCTATGGAAAGAAGGCGTTCTGGAGCAGAGAACTTCCGATCTAAACACCATTGAACCAAAGGGAAAATGAGTATCTTACTTATGCAAAAACATCTCTTCTGGGCTTCATGTCTACCCTTGTCCCAACTTTCTAGAGAAAGGCTAGAAAGTTCACAGTCCACAGAGTCCTGCATACTTACAGTCAGTCAGTGAAGCTGAGTGGCTATAGTGCCGTGTTGAAGAACAGTAGCCCTACGGTGAGATGCAGCTTAGCCTCAGCCCATCACACTGTGCCTCTGGCCCCGGTGGGGGTTGTTTTTTGGGACTACCTCACATTGGGTAGTCTTACTTACGTATTCTTTTCCTTCTCCTTAGAGTAGATTCTCCATGAGATCAGAAACATGGTTTAGTTTGCTGCTGTGTCCCTAGCGCCTAGAAAACATCCAGCTCATGATTAGTTCTCAATAATTACTGAACAAATGCAGTGAATGGAGTTATTTGGCCTTTTGGTGCTTTATATTCCTCATCAGTCAGATAGAGATGATGATGTTAGCACCTACCACAGGAGGTTGTGTGGAGGATTAAATGAAATAATAAATAAAAAGAACTAAGTTAGGGCTTCATAAATAGGAGCTGACATTGACATTTTCATCATTACTCTGTGCAGGGCAAGTGGTAAGCACTGCTGTTCAGTCTTATTTTGGTTTTAAAGAATCAATTTTGTCTTGGAATGTTGTGCACCTCCATCAGCGAGGGGGTGAATTTTGGTGATAGATTTTACTACTGGAAACTTGGGCAACGGATGTGGAAAATTTTATATGTGCTATCAATGCCATGTAGAATGTACATTCCTTCCCCTTTCTCTAAATCTAAATCAGAGCGAGAGGTGGTGCCCTGTCAGCGTTATACCTCCAGTTCCCAGATGAGGCTGTCTCAGTATGTATTTGTGGAATTAATGAATGATCAAACCCCAGCCCATGTCACCCTCCCTTTTGTTAAGCCCAGTGCTCACTGCTTTTTAGCATCATTTATATACCCCATCCTATGAAGGGGCTTTGTTATCTTTATACTGTACCCAGGACCTAGCATGGTGCTCAATAAGTATTTGTCATATGAATGAATTAAACTAGGGAGCATATCTCCTGAACTCCTTAATGCTCAACTTTTTGGAAAAGAGAACTTCGATGCTGGAGAAACTGTAAGTCTGATTAGTCTGACTGCTCTATGGCTTTTCTGGGTAGCCCTTCTCCATGTGAGGACCGTTTTCCTCAAGACCACAAACATGACTGAGCTCTTGAAACTTAATTGCTAATTCATTATTTTTTCCCCACTTCTGCTCCAAAGGGACAGTATGATTTGGTCAAATGCCTGGCCCCCATTCGAGACCCCAAGACGGAGCAGGATGGGCATGATATCGAGAACGAGTGTCTGGGAATGGCTGTCCTGGCCATCTCACACTATGCTATGATGAAGAAGATGCAGTTGCCAGAGCTTCCCAAGGACATCAGGTAGACCTTCCCGCTGGCTGACAGATTTGTTGTGGGGATGGTGGAGCTTTTACATGCTCTCCTGCATCTCTGTTTAACTGCTTTCAGCATTGGGCTAAGCCCTGCCATCTCCAAAATCCAAATCTTACTTAGGATGTTGATGAAAAGTAGCATGGTTGTAATTGTACTAGGGTGAATTTCTGGGCTGGGATGCTCATGGAAAGAGT